CACTCTTTCAATAGATTAATTCTGCAATAGACTAGAATAGATATTATTTCAAATAAATGCTCTTGTCTATATCAAAGATATTTATGAGTCACTCATTGTAAGATCAAAGGGCTAGAAATAAAATTAGTTGTTATGCTGCACAAGTCTGAAGCCATCATTTAACTCTCCTCCTGGTGGAGAGAACCGGCTGTCATAGATTGCCACCACAGACTAGGAGTTCCCACGGTCCTCAGATGAAGTTAAAATACAAGTTCTTATAGAGCCTCCCCATCAATAGCGCCTCCCCGTCTTTCCTGCAGGCCCCCCATAGGCAAACTTGCTGAGGGTGCACTCAATCGCACTGTCCATGTCTCTGACAAAGACATTAAACAACACTGAATGCAATACTGACCCATGAAGAATGCCTCTCATTACTGGTCTCCACTTTAACATCAAGCCATTGACCCCAACTCTTTGAGTGTGACCATCCAGACAACTCCTTATCCACCATGGGGTCCATCTGTCAAATCCATGTCTCTCCAATTTAGAGACAAGGATGTCATGTGGGACAGTGTCAAAGGCTTTGCACAAGTCCAGGTAGATGACAGTTGCTCTTCCCTTATCCACCAATACTGTAACCCCGACATAGAAGGCCATCAAATTGGTCAGGCACAATTTGCCCTTAGTGAAGCCATGTTGGCTGTCACCAATAACCTCCTTATTTTCCTTGTGCTTTAGCATAGTTTCCAGGAGGATCTGCTCCATGATCTCATCAGACACAGAAGTGAGACTGCCCAGCCTGTGGTTCCCTAGGTCTTCCTTATTTCCCTTTTTAACCATGGGGGTTATGTTTCCCCTTTTCCAGTCTGCACGAACTTCACCAGAGTGCCACATCTTCTAAACAGGATGGATAGTGGCTTTGCAACTTCATCCACCGGTTCCCTCAGGACCCGCGGATGTATCTCGTCTGGTCCCATGGACTTGTACACGTTCAGGTTCATTAGAAGGTCTTGAACCTGATCTTCTCGTACAGCTGACGGTTCTTCCTTCTCCCAGTCGCTGCATTTGCCTTCTGTGACTTCAGCAGTGTGGCTTAAGATTGCTGGTCTTTTTTTGTACTTGAGTGAACTGGCTATTTTTTGTTGGGACCTCTATAAGTCATAGGGCAAATGGTGATTAAGATATTAGAATATATCATCAAAATAAATATTATTTGGAAATCAATTGCACATAGTGAGGCCTAAGATTTACAAAGGAGTCTCTGAAGGATTAAGGTTAAAATTATGCAAATATATATGATAGCATCAGAGACTGCATATTGGCTAAAGTTTCTGGGATATCACCATTTCCACCCCACACATTATTTGGTTTACTTGAGCACTAAAGGTTCATTAATTTGGAGCTCAAAACACAAGTTCAGACCTAGATAATGAACAAAATAAGGCTCAGCATTTAAACTTTTCATGGCAGCCTTTGTCTACCACATTGATTATCACGAGTAACATTTTTATGTGCCCTGGATCCTGATTTTAATTGAGACTTAAAAATAGGATTTAAATTACTTCAGAATATCAGTGGTCTAGAAAATAATATTTTTCTCCCTTTATAACACACTAGATAATTAAGTTCACACAAATCATCTGACAGGAACCCTCCAGTACAAGCAAATCTGTCAAAGCCAAGGCACAGACTACCCTCAACAATCATGTCCGCATTACAGTCCACCTCAAACAAAACACAACTCAGAAGACAGAAACCTGGACTCAGTGGTTGCCATTCATGCAAATTTTTAACTATGCTTCAGATTGTCTTAGATGTATCATATGTTCACCTAGAATTGCACATTACTCTAGGCAACTCCCATGAAATTTTCTCTCTTTCCCAGGCCGATTTTGAGTCACTCAATTTTTCTTCTTAAATTAAACTTAGATTTCAATTAACAGCTAGTTTTACGGATGTTTGTAATGATTCCCCTCCACTGACTTCCAATAACGGTACAGAAAAAACAGCATTGAGCACAGCTGCACTAATGCAAAAGGAAGCATTTGTTGGTACTGCATATCTCTTCTTCATTTATTTCCCTTTTGTGTACACAAGCTACCATACAGAACTAAGGAACTGGAACAGTGGTGAATGCTATACCAGCTTCAGTTATTTTTATTGCTCCCAGTTTACCTCACTAGCCAATACATTTTCTAGTACAGTGATGCTAGAACAAAATAAAACAAAGAAAAC